TGAAACTTGCAGCTCTTGACACGTAAGTCAGAGTCTGCACATTTATGATACTCATCAGTCAACTCGACCTCACTGCATAATTCCCCTTATTGGCAATCTGCTCTACACAGCTAATAATACACAGAAAAGAGCTTATAATCATAGAATGGTTTGGGTTGGAAGGGACCTTAAAGCTCATCCAGTTCCAACCCCCCTGCCATCAGCAGGGACACCTTCCACTAGACCAGGTTGCTCAAAGCCTCATCCAACCTGGCCTTCAATAATTCCAGGGAGGAGCAGCCACAGCTTCTCAGGGCAACCTGGGACACTGTCTCACCACCCTCACAGTGAAGAACTTCTTCCTAATATCTAATCTAAACCTCCCCTTTTTCAGCTTAAACCCATTTCCCCTTGTTTTGTCATTAACTGCCCTTATGAAAAGTCCCTCCCCAGCTTTCTTGTAGGCCCCCTGGTAATCTCCAGTATTCCAAGACCTCACCCCCTACCACCAACATTTGCAACTGAAGCTAAAATCAAGAGCAGGGTTCAACTAATGTAAACACATAAGTATGCAAACTTCACATAAATCTTAATGGGAAGTATGCAAAAAGATGCATGCAGGACAGAATAAATTTTTCAAAAATTCAACCCAATACACTGGCAAATCACGAGGTTTTTAGAAATTTTATTTCCCCACCGTGAATCGTAAGCATGAGATTTTACCTGCTACTGCAAGCACTGGCATTATCATCACATCTTCCAGTTCCTTCTGGCCTCTGCAATTACCTACTTTGCTTACCTACACTGCGTACTATCAGAGAGATCACATACAACCTCATCAGCCCCAGTTAAGAAATGTCTCACTCATTTCTTGAATTATATTTTCTAAAGAAAAACAGAGATAATAAAATATCTAGATCGTTACTTTAAATAATATCAAATCATAATTTGAGTAATTACATATATGTTTTCTTTTTACTATTATAAAACTTTCATAAATGCTTTACAACAGGCTCTGCACACCATTAGACATGAGGAATATTACAGGATGGATCCAACTAGGAAAGCATACATTTTTCCTCACCTTAACTCGATGTAACTGTAAACTAAGCCAGGTAAAATTTTTATCTCATCTGAACGGGACAAGTCAGGCACAAGATTATTACTCTGCAGCATGACAATGCAATGAAATATTCCAACACACTAAGAGAGGGTATGAATCTTAAAATGGCTCCTCCACGGTACTGCACACGCTCAGTAACAAAGCACTTAGTCTTTATTTATAAAACTCATGCTTCCCCCCCTAGGTAAGGAGCTTTCTGACATTCCTACCAGCATTTAAGGGAAATCCATATTACAAGCCAGGATCATGAATTTTCATGAGGTAGGTGGTAAGTATTATCACAGAAGTGAAATAACAGGTGTACTGTAATACTCCCAAACCATTCACATATTTCAGTATGCAAACACCTCACCACACACATTCATTTCAATATTTTCTTTGCCATGGTTGCTAGGATTCTAAATTTTTACAGGGTTATACGGTGCTTTGAACTTTTGACATGCATTTGAAGGATCTACTTACGTCCTGACACCGGAAAACACAAGCTTTAAGACTTGTTTGCCGAAAGGTTTTTAGTATGTTCCTGGCAGCCTTCCCACCACACCCCCATTTTTCAGTAATATACCTCAGATCAAATACAAATTTGCTGACTTTCTGTTGGCAAAGGCATAGAAACCCATGTGGGTCTGCAGGCACAGTACAAAAAAAGAGTTCTGCTGAAAAGTTAAGGGCCGGTGCTTCGGTTTCTAATGCAGGGTGTGAATGTGCCCTCTGGGTTGAAAAGAGATTTTTACTTATAGCTTTAGCCAGAGTTCTGATTTATAATTTTTCATAAGACTTTTGAACCTGCAATTTTTAAAGAAATAGCTTTCATAAAAGTACCAGGTCACCCATGTTAACAAAAAGGAATTGTCCAGAAAGGCATCTTTACACGCTATGAAGAAAAGGGCTAATCAATGGTGTATCCAAGCACACGCCTGCTTACTGGCACCACTGCAAAACTGACACGGACACCCACGACTGCTGAACATGCTTCCTGAAAAGATGCACTTTATAAAAAGATAGAGATGTGTAAGAAGTGGGATCTACTTTTATTTTTATATGGATGTTAAGATTACAAATAATATAAAATGTAATCGGAATTAGAATGAATTCTAGTACTTAAGCCATGATGAAAAAGACAGAAATGTAAATTAAAAAATGGTCTTAACTGCAAACATACAATTTCAGTTTCACCAAATCATGAAGTTGAGTACATAAGAGATTAGACAGGCAGGCGGTTCAATACCTTCAATCAGTGCAGTAAATGTTGAACTGCTTTTTTATCAAGCAACTTGCAGAATAACTGCTAGTTTTTTCCAGTTACAGTTTAACTAAGTTTCTATCAGTTCAGCTTAAATACGTGTCACTGTAACAGCGGGGAACACTGCTGAATTCACTGGCATGAGGTACCACGTCCAAGTCAGGTGTGATCAAACAAGCTAGAAGGTAATACTGGCAAAACCAGCAGTCCCTGGGTTCTGTTGCATTATTTTAACATTCATTAAATTGGCTGAATCAAAGGATCAGTGGATTTTTACCCTCAGAGTACTTATTCTGGCCACGGGTTAAACAAGTTTCCATGACTTCTTGCAGTGTTTACCTTTCCTACATCTGATAAAGATGCCATGATGCTCTAGGTTGAACAAGGTTGTCTCTACATCTCCCACTACCACAAAGTCAGAATATTCCAAGTTAAATGCCCAAACAAGCCCCCTCATGTCTGTACAGAAACTATTTTTGTGCTCACATCAAAAGGACACGCTCCTAAGTAGGATCCAACTCAAGTTCAGTGCCACCACACATTCAGAATGGGACTGATCTCACATTTGCAGGCTTAGCTTATGGCCACAGGTAGTTAAAATACTGAACTGAGGACACTGGAGCAGCAAAGCATGATGGTGTTCACAACACAGGAACCTTTGCTACTCCACCTCACTGTCCATGGACGTGCAGGGGGGACACACACTCAGGTCCTGCTCTCTCTATTATGCACCTTAATGAGAACAACTTCAGGGAATTACAGGAGATAATTAAAACGTGAAAGAAGGTAATTTGAAGCACGTGTCCTGTCTGAGACTTTAAAATGTCACTAGAACAGTTATTTCTGAGAGGAAGTTCCTAAGAGATGTGAAACGGACTTTTGTTGAGGCTGTGCAAATTTTAAGTGTTTCAAACAACTCATATTTTAGCTGTCAGATGTATGAATGGCAAGGTGGAAACTCTCAAAGAGGAAAAAAACAAAATCATTCTTTATGTTCAAATAAAATCAAATCAGCTGAAAAATATTTTCATTTCATTTATATCTAGGCTGAGACAAACTACAGAAATTTCATCCAAAAAGGGAATTTTTGCAAAAAGCAAAGATACAGAGATACTCCAAATTTGAGTAAGATCTTATAAGCATAATTCTTTTTTTTTTTTTTTTTTTTGGTGTGGTGTATTGTATAGAACAAAAAAAAAGATATGGAACATGACTTAATTCTTGTACACATGTAACCTTACCTTTGCTTTTGCTAGGTCTTCCAGTTACTATAATAAATATTCCTACAACTCCCCATTACTCCTAGTTTTAAGAGTGAAAAATCAGCACAGAAATTCTGTGTGCAACAAGACCAGTTGTAAGAGAGAGATTTCTTTACTGGTTTGGTGGAAGAATGTCCATGACTCTAATGCCACCAGAAACATATCACAAGGAGGAATTATTCCTTTACTTTTTATTGCATCGTTATTGCATATAAATGCTACTGTCACTGCTTCACCACCCCACTGTACTGCATAGAGTGAATCAAAGCATTAAGAAATGCCACACAGCATAGAAAATGTGATTTATTAAAATAATGGAATCAGCTATGTTTAATATGTATTCTGAGAAGTTATAAATGCTCTATCAATTATTTATTCCTCGCTGTAGTTTACTGCAACATAAAGTATATTAAGATTAGCTGCAAGAGGTAGATGTTAAAATCCGCCAACAGTTTTTTGGAAAGATTTTTATAGTAAGTGTGAAAAAATAAAATTTTTCAAGGTAATAATAAGGATTACAGTAAAACTTCTCTTCAGTGTGAAAAATACTGAAAACTGTTCTTTTCTTACCTAATCAGAGGAAAAAATGAAGCTTTGGCTATTTATAACACGTGGTATTCTTTAAAGTTTCATTAAGTCATGGGCAACTGAATATATCTATTGCTGGAATAGTGACTGCACCATTGATAACTATCTTCTACAGTACCACACTTCAACTTGTTGCTACTAATGTTTAGTTCTCTGTGAACCAAAAAGATCACCAAATTCCACCTCCATCACCACAAAGCATTTAATGAAAAACTGAATTGCCTTCTACACTGAAACTAGCAAATATCAGTGATTCCCCAGTGTACCACATTACTTTAGGTGTAACTGAAAGGACCAACTCCTCCCCATATGCACAAGATTATGAAAAAGGCTTTCAAATGAGGAAACTAATAGTTTCAGACTTCCTTGCTAAAGCACAGCCCCAAATATTTCACTGGGGTGTAGAAAACACTGGTTAAAAGTCTGTTTAAATTACATTCAAAACCACAAATATGAAAAATATTCTCAGCTTGCTTTTCCCAGACAAATTGTGAATAAACACACTTTCCTCACTTGAGGAAGCATGTTAGCAGGGGACAGGCATTCCATTTCCTTGCTTATTCATTATTTGTACTACAAATATTTTTTTTCTCTGTCTCCACGCTGCCTACACTAGCTCTTTGAAAAAACAACGTAAATACCTGAGTTTACTTTTTATTCCTTTCACTATTGCTTCACTGCTCTGCTACGTAACTTCGCATTTGATGCTCAGTATTAATCAAAGGGAACTAAACAACCAAACAACGACAAAAAACCGTCATTCTTTTGGCAGCAAAAGAACTTTTCAGCACAGAACTTCACTTACCACCCAGGGCTTGTCACAGAAGTTATAGATTGATTCCAGGGAGTTGACACTAGGGATGCCTGCGTACTGCATTCCAATGATCAAGTTACGGAAATCTTCATTCTCTGCCATACTGAATGAATGCTGTCGAACGAGGACAAAATCAGGCCTGAATGACCTAGCAAGAAAAAGAGACGTTGCTAATAGTCAATGATCAAATTGGTTTTCCTTCAATAGCAAAATCTTAAAAGGGAAAAATGTCAGGCTGATGGATAGAGAAGTACTAAAAGAACACTCAAAATGAAGGTAAATGCTACAAGAGGTGGAAGAATTATTATGGCTTTACAAAAATCTGTACTGTATTATTTCTCAACCGCTGTTCAGAAAACATCAGCAGCCAGTCAATAATGTGACCCCATTAGGAGGAGAGACAAATTATCATTTTCAGGTTGTTTTCCCACTGAAAGACAAATCACATATATAAACACTGAGTATGTTCTTAGTTCATGTACACCAGTTCCTGAGCAATGACAACCGAAAATAAAGCAGGCAAATGTCTCGGCCAGAAACATACGCTTCTTGGGAACATTTTTTTTCCACAACTATTGTCCAACTGTTTTGAAAACAGTAAGAGATGAAGCAACCCCATTGCTTGCAAAAGGAATCATACCGTAATTGGAGATAATCACAATTCCATTTTTGATCAAGACACGTGTCAGAATGAATTTCTAAACTTACAACTGCACTTTTTTTTTTTCCTCTTTCTCTCCTGTATCTGATCAGGATTTCTCCTGTTGCAGCCTCTGTGGCTCTTGTCCTGTCACCAAGCACCTTTGAGAACAGTCTGACAGAAGACATAATGTCACAGGACAGAGCCACCGGTACAGGGGCAATTCGCTCCTAAACTTGGCTGTTGAAAGCCTCACCTTCTTATTCAAATTTCAGAGGTGGAAAAAACACTGATTAGCTTGAAGCTACCAACCTCCTGAAAGAGGTATAACTGCAGGGTAAATTAAATTAGTGTAGTAAATCAGTGTAACTATTTACATGCCTTGAATAAATATAATCTGTGTACTGGAGTGAAAAATTCAGAAGAGTACAAAATGATTCAGCAATCTCTCACTCTAGTAAAACAAAACCAAACCAAAACAAATAAAATTGATGTTAAAATTGCTTAAGCAGTTTTGAGATTCCAGCCTGAATGCAGCAGTCAAACTATATTAGCTGGATGAGTTGGCTTTCAAACGGAAAGCGTGATTTGACGAAAGCAACAGAATAAAGATTTCCTGTCAAGAGTCATTAAAATGGCACTGTAGCCCAGTGATCAAAACTTGTCAAGAAATGCTTGCCTTTAACTAATTAAAAAAAAAAAAGTAGCATAGTTCTGAGAATTTGTGATCTAGGTTTCATGGTGGTATGCCAAGTGTTTGAAACAAGGCAATTCAATTTCCTAGAACAGCATGAGTACAATACTTCGAGGACTAATGATGCCTTAATCAAAACTGCAGACCACTCGGTGAAAGGAAGAGATGATCTCTCTTGTTTAAAATAGTGCTGGGGCAATTACACATCATCTCAAAGAAAACACTGTGTTTTTAAATAAAGTAAAGAATAGAAAGTGTCCTTTAAAATACCAGATTAATGAAACAATTAGGGCACTGGGGGAATGTACTTCTTTTCCAAGAAAATATATATTTTGCTTTGCAAAAACTCCTCAAAACGACACAATTGTTATAGTTCTGTAATTACCGCTGGACAGATGGACTGTGAAGCTCATGAGAAAAATTTTAATCCTGGTTCAAGCATTTTTAAGATCCAAAATCTCAGCATTATGTACCATGAGATATCATTTTTCACGGTTTGATTTTCATTCACAAAAATGAAACAAGCAGGTGCCTGTTACACAGTTTTTTCCTCCTAAACTAAGGCAGCAAAATTTTGTCATTTAAATTTCTATGGTTTTACTAATATTTAGCTCATCAATCTATGATACAAGGTTACTTTGGACCTCACATTAATAATACATAAGACTTTTCATCTCAGATGAGCAGGACCAGCAGTTTCTCCCATCTCTCTTGTTGATAGTTGAGACAGACAGAAATAAAGGAACACGCCACACATCCTACTGTCTGACCCATATTTAATGCTGGATTTTAAATGAAGTCTCTTCTCAACCAAACATGTAAGGTAATATCCATCAGTACCTCTGCATTCCTTACTGACACAAGGAGCACATTCCAAGCTTCAGGTAATAAACTTCACAAACCAACATAAGGTTTAAAGCAACATAAAGACCAGCACGTATCTGAAGATACAGAACATTTATGAAAAATATTTTTGTTTTTCTAAAATATCCTGTATCTCCAGCTGGTAGCCCAGAAGGTCAACCATATCCTGGACTGCATCAAGAGAAGTGTGGCCAGCAGGCCGAGGGAGGTGATTCTCCCCCTCTACTCCGCTCTCGTAAGGCCCCACCTGGAATACTGTGTCCAGTTCTGGAGCCCCCATCACAAGAGAGACCTGGAGCAGCTAGAACAAGTCCAGAGGAGGCCACGAGGATGATCCAAGGGCTGGAGCACCTCTCCTATGAGGACAGGCTGAGAGAGTTGGGGCTGTTCAGCCTGGAGAAGAGAAGGCTCCGGGGAGATCTTATAGCGGCCTCCCAGTACCTGAAGGGGCTACAAGAAAGCTGGGGAGGGACTTTTCCTAAGGGCAGTTAATGACAAAACAAGGGGAAATGGGTTTAAAATGAAAGAGGGGAGGTTTAGATGAGATATTAGGAAGAAGTTCTTCACTGTGAGGGTGGTCAGACAGTGTCCCAGGTTGCCCAGAGAAGCTATGGCTGCTCCTCCCTGGAAGTGTTGAAGGCCAGGTTGGATGAGGCTTTGAGCAACCTGGTCTAGTGGAAGGTGTCCCTGCTGCTGGCAGGGGGGTTGGGACTGGATGATCTTTAAGGTCCCTTCCAATCCAAACCATTCTATGATTCTATAAGTTATCATAGAAACAGAGAACTGCTGTCCCATCATGTCTGCGTACCCTTCTCACACGAGAAGGCATGCACACATATACAGATATCTCACACACATTTCAGTGGCATTTATCCACTACAGGTAGTTCTATTTGGTTTAATAAATTATTCATAGAACTGGTAGCATTATAAAATCCTTTGTCATCTCACAATCAGAGTTATCTGATGGCACAACAAGATTTCTCTATATCTTAACATAATTAGCAGTTTTACCAAGTTTTCTCATAAACTGCAAACACACATCTTTGTAGATGCCATTTTCTGGAGGTTCACAGCTCACGTTAAGTACTGACATGTTTTGATGCTAACTTGGCCTCAATATTTTTGTTCTGTTTGGCAAACACTCTACCGAGAAACCACTAAGGACCAGTGATCAAGATTTCCTGGCTCCAAAACTTCTATCATTGAGGAAAAAAACCACCACCAACAACAAAGAAACCTCTAAAAAAAAAATATCGAATCTCTTACTCTCCTAAGAAAATAATCTTGTGGATTTGGCATAAGTGGTTATTGTATTAAGCTGCAGTATTTTTAGAACACACAAGGGATTAAACAGTTGTGAGTTTTAAAGCATAAAGTACAGTTTATTGTCAGTAATTTTTTCCTGATTTTTTTTAACAAGAATGAGTAGAAATTTTCAAATCTTTTATTTGGACAGATGTTGTGCAAAAACACGAAGATACAAGCTGTAAACTGTCCAGCTCCCTGAACTCTTACTCCTGCCTAAAGCTAAGCACAAGCAGTAAACTACCAGGTCACTGTTAGTGACTTGACCTACCTTTCTGAATGTAACTGATCAGCCAAACAACTGCTACACTAAACTCACACTGAACTGCACTGGCTACAACAGGAGTAATTCCCATAGATCACGTAAATATAGGACTGCCTGAAATAATTTTGCTAATACTAATGTAAGCTTTTACTTTGCCCAGATGTAGCCCTGTTTTCTTCCCTTAATTTTACAAGGCTGTTGATGTCCTCACTGAAGATAATGGTAAAATTACCCTGCCTTTAATTGGAATAATCCTTTTTTGGACAAAACAGCCTATTGGGAGATCTCAGGCTTTTAAATGGTAATCTTTCAAACAGTGATAGTCCAGTAACTATCCTGAGAAATGCTATGACCTGGCCTGTTTCAATAGAAAATACTCAACACGGGAAATAAATATTGTTCATCTGGAAAAGGCTGGCTTGTACAAAATCACCAAAACTGTCTGTATTTCTGAAGCAAAGATAAGATCCAAATCAATAACTAACTCCCAATCATGTATTCTTTATACCAGACTTCATTCCCATCTTAATCAAATCCATCCTTCATGTGATCAAAATGTTGAGCTATTTCACCCGTCACAAACAGGACTTACTGCTCAGACACTTTATTCCCCGCTTTTCATGGCAATGACCAGGGTGTGTTACATCAGTCAAAATCCCTATCGTACACATACAAGAAAATCATTCAGTATCTTTTACACACATCCATTACACCATTTATTGCCTTTTGCTGTTATTCTATTTAGTTTTTCTTACCTGACAACTTTAGTGCCATTTCGAAATACTTGGATATCTACAGCGTAATTGCCATCAGCATGAGCAATCAAGTTGATTTCTGAAAATTCTGCCTATGAAAAGAAGACTCACATCAGTCAGTCTGGTTAATTTTACCTTTATTTTCCTAGATCCCTTCTTTTAACTATTAGAACTGCTGACAATCTACGTTTGGAAAATAATGAGCGCTAAGAGGATATTAATCCAACAGTATTTACCATCTATGACACATCACATTTGAATAAATTCTAATACAAAGAAAGTAAAAACCAAAAAACCTGTATGAAAGACGACTGTGGGGCAGTAGCAACTGTATTCATGTCTGCATGGAAGTGTAGAGATTATATTTTTTATTTGATTTTGTTTTTAAGAGATTAGACTTTAAGAGATTAGACTCAACAAACATACGTAAAGTTTTGAAGAAAACAGTACAAAAGTAATGTTAAAATAACTATGATAAATATTTTCTTATAACTTTTCATGTCTCATCATATACTTTACTCCTTTCTATTTCCTTCATGTGCATTTACTCATCTTTTAAAATGATCTAGTGCTAATAAACAATTGATTCACAAAATTCACAAATAAAGAGCTTTTTCAAAGTATCTTCTCACACTGGAAATGCAGAATTTAAAAGGAATCACTTCCATACTCTGAATCTACAGTTATTTGAAAGGAAAGGACAGGATGTTTTCCATTTATCCACAGTCTTTCATCAGCTTAAACTCTCAAGGCACTTTACAATAACATTACACAGCAGAATAATTGAAATGCAGCCAACTGTCTTGTAGTGGATAAATAAAAGCGTCTTTGCTATCCCAGACACTAATACAGAAGAGAGAGTGTCAGAATTCTCATTAGTCTCCTCTTGAAAACTGCTATCACCCAAAGTCTTCCTAACTCAAATCTGTGCGAGGCTTTCAGAGCTCAGTGTTCAGTCAAGGCAAGTGTTGACTATTCTAACCACTATTCCAACTCAGCAGCTTAAGTATGTGCTTGATTTCTCTTCACTAAATCCCATATGCTTATATATTTTCTTGGATCAGTGTTACCATGTTCTAAACACAAGGGGCAGTTTTAAGATGATCGTAAAAACAGTGCAAATGGTGAGAGACTGAAATATTTGTGTAAGTGCTGACAATGTTAAAGAATCACTTAACATCTATTTAATCCGAGATTGACAACTGAGGTCTCCAATTCATATTTAACATTTACAAGGATTCACAATACAGATTTTGTAGTTTAAAACCTTAGTCCATGATAGAAAACATTGTGTGTTATAGACAGGTTGCTGTAAGTAGTACAAAAATAAAACCATGTTCTCTGGTATTAGCAAAAGAACATTGAAGTAAGTAGTTGTCAGTAACTCTCTTTGTACACAACTGTCACAGTGTGGATGTGATTAGTACAAAGTGATTAGCAGGGTTCAGAAACTTCCAGTCTCTTACTGATGAAAGGTGGTTCTGGTCCCACCAGAGACCATATGAAGGAAATTCTGGGCTTACACAGAGCTGTTGTTAATATTAAAGAGACAGTGTGCCTGATGTCAACTGCATGGTCTGAGCTAGGTGTGAATGGGATGTGGGGACAAAATAGCTTGTCTCTTTTTTCCCTGTCTCTCCCTCAATACTCTTGAAGATCCCTGGCAAAGCTTTCTGTGTTTCCAAGCCAAGAACACCAGCAGATACTCAGTGGTGTAAAGAATGGAGCAAAGCTAGATGCTGTACTACCACAGTGAATTTAGATAAGCTGAATCCACACAGCTAGTGATAATTTTCCCTCACTCTTTGAAATTCCAATAACAAATCAATTCATTTAAGTACTGAAGCTTCCTACAGTAACATCTATTCATAGAATTCAAGATTGAAAAGCAGTGAAAGAGACTTATTTACTTCCCTAGTTTCAGAAATCTAGCTCAAATAAAATAGTCATAATTCTAATGCAACCTAAATTGTATCTCTACGTTTATTTGGTGCTTTTCTTAAAAAAAAAACAAACCAAAAACCAAACAACAACAAAAAAACCCCAAACAAACAACAACAAAAAAAACCCAAAACCCCAAACACACACCAGCACTGCAACCAGAGCGCACGTAAATTCTTAAACCAAGGAATTAGTGACACATAAATGCAACATGTAATTCATGGAGTGTCTGGGAAATTCACAGTCCCTAAGCAACAGCTTTTGAATATTACTTGTTTTTAATGTTGTGCAAATTTTGGACAGAATCTTCTAAACAGAGTCACATTAGAATGAAATACAATTAAATCTTACTTAATGTGAGAGGTTTTTTTTTTTTCAAGTACAAAGGACAATGTATCTATCTATATATATACATGCATATATATAGATATATGTATAAATACACAAATATAAAAATAACATTCAGATGAAGTCATTTAGTTACCTGTTCAACCTTTATGTCATATTCTCCATGGACCTTTTTTCCACGAAAAGCCTTGGCCCTGCAGGAAAACAGAGAGAGAAAATCAAGGATATATGTATCTGTAATCACTAGCTACATAAAGCTTCCTGTATGGCCTTCAGTACCTTGAAAATACAGATATTTTCTGTATTGAATCTACCTACTACCCTTACAAAAGTCCTCTTTCTTTTGACATCCTTGTATTCTTAACATCCCATCACACAGTATTTTGTGATGAAAAGCGTATACAATGTGATTTTCAGCATTAAAGGGTATCCTAAAGTAAACAGAAATATATATTTCACAATTAGTTATTAATACAAGATGAGTACCACTAAAAAGAGGCAATCCTGCTCTCATTAAAGTCAACAATGCCAGTGGAAATCCATTTCAATGTGAACAACATCCGAACTACCACTCATGTTAAACTTTATCCACTTAGTTTATTTAGAAAAAACAGTTTATTGGAAACACTATGCTTAGAAACTTTATATTGTTTTTAAAGAAAGAATCAGAGGTACTGCAGACTGTTGTCACCAAGTTTGCACATGCCTGATTTACTAATCAGTTTTGCTTTTTCTAGACTATAACTTGAGACAATAATTAATCTGAAGGAGGGTTTATGAGTAATTATTATGCACCAGGATTGCTGTGATAAAACAGAACTGAATTCAGTGATCCTGTCTCCCAGGCCTGGGAATCTGTCAGCTGTACGCCCTGGGCAGCACGTTTCTGCTTTGGAGTCAATGGGAATTAAATAATCTGTTGGTAAAAGGGAACTACTCAAACACTCTTAAGTTGGAAAAGGGATATGGTAGCAGTTTCTCTCTCCACCTTTTTTGCTCAAGTCAAAGCTTAAAGTACCATTCCCACTTTTATTACATGCAAGCAAAAAGCTGGTGCATGCTCAGGATAACGTCATCAAATATTTTTTCCAATAACAAAAGTAGAAGCTAAATATACTGTGTCACAAGTCTAACAAAGAAATACCATTCATCATTTAGTTTTCTTTCCAAAATTGTTCTGAAATTCCACATGAATATAAAAATTATCTCTTGAAAACTCTAAAGATGTCTGGACATGGCTTAGGATTTATAACATCATTTATGCTGAAGCATCAGCTGGCCCATGCTAATCTAGTAGGTGCAGGAAAACCAAGGACATCTGGGAGAAGTCTACAAAAGCCACAGATCAGAGAGGAAGGTCTCAAGTTCAAAGATAACAGCACAACTGCCTCAGGAGAGAAGCAACCAGTCTGTAACAACAGACAGTTTAAATGTCTCTGAAAAACTAAGATTGACCACTTTGAAAGACACAACTGCAATTCTGATCCCCATGAATTTAACAGTAATGTTACTGTTGAATTTTACTGGGAACAGGATGAGCTCCTAGATTTTATTTCTGACGCAGCAACAGGTGAGGTAAATGCATTATTGGACATCACACAACACAAATTCAAGTTAAATAGAAGTAGGTTGGCTACAGAACACAATAAATGTTACACTGCCTCTTGAACTCTGAAAAACAGGCTTAGAGTCATACTCAGCTTCTTCGAAGCTGAATGGTTCCTTGAACCAACAGAGATCGAACCTCCACAATGCTCAGCCTAACAAATATTAGCAACTGAGAGAAAATGAAAACAGGAAAGCACAAAGAGCCCAAGGCAAGCTCTTCAATGCTTTAGTGCCAAGTCCATTACACATACTGAAAGTGTGCAAAATGTTAGTTAAGGTGAGATGCTATTTCTCTAAATTCAGTCTTTCTATTTAAACATCATTTAGATGAGGCAAGTTTTAAACAGCTAAACTCTGGCATGATTCACATTTCAACAAATGACTTCAGCTTTGAAAATAAACAGTAATAGTAAGTACTGAGGTGAAGCAATCTAAGGCTTGAAAACAAAGCCTTGTGACATTTAAATATTTAAAGAGACTTAATTTCAAAGTAGCTTTAACCAACACCTTTTATTAAAATTTATAATACTGAGTAATATTCTCCAAATGTTGAGCCACAAACTGCAAAAATTTATCTTCATATCTCTAAAAAATAACTTACAACAAAAAGCCATGACTCAGTCATTTCAGAACAAGCTCTAAGAAGTTCTTAGCATGAGTTTGCTGTGAAATAGAATCTAGTTTTCAAGTTATTTACTATACTTAGGAAATACAGTCATGCCCTGATTGAATTGTTTCCTATTTGCAATATGAGAAGTGTGCAATCCTATCAAATACATTTATTACATGCTTAAATTAATATTTTTTTACTGAGGGGAGATAGGGACAAAATTCTTTGGTGTTATGGATTTACAGAATTTCACTGAATTTTAGTTTGAAATTCCTGTTACATCTTATTACTCTTCGGACTGGAATATGAAGTTGATACGGAGTATAAACTCTGGGAGCACCTCTGTAGAAAGGAAGCGATGCTTTCAAGGTCAGGGTCTCTAGGCAAGGCAGTTGGGAAGAGCACAAGTTCAGCTGTCAGCACGAATGAAGTTAACAAAACAATTATGTCCCAATTCAAGTAATATTTGGCTGCCCATTGTTGATGACTCCTTGCATTATATGTTGGGAAGAGAAGGAAAGCAAGTTGCACCACTATCTGGGTGAAACTCACTGTGTAAACAAAGCCTCCATGTAGAGAAAACGGACAGCTACTAATGTGAATGTCACCTACTGGAGTTATTAGCATGACCTCAGAATCTTTTCAAAATATATGTAATATTTATGCATTTCTTGCTTCATGTTTCATTTTCTGGATAAAAGTCTTGCACATTTAAAATTAAACAACTACAGAATATACAGTTGCCACTGATGCAGCCTAATGCAAACTCATACTACTTACTGAACTTTGGCAAGGGCAAGGAATGAAGCAGTCATCACTGAAAGTGTTTCAAATAGAGAAAAAAAGACCTAAAATACTCCCCTTCCCTACATACATTTCTGCAGTATCTCGCTGTGCCATGAAATCACACATGGTTTCATTTCATATAAATGAACAAAGCATGGGAACAGGTGATACTTTTGATCCGCAGCAAAATCAACAGGAAAATCATTTGCTAACACACAACAGGTTTCTACCACTTCAGTTTGCGTTCTTTAACACCGCAGCGATGAGCTTATCGGAAACAGTCCTTATCAAAGTCAAAAGTATGCTTCCAGCAAGTAACTGGGATCCAGTCCTGCAAACCACTGCTCATGTGTGTAAGCCTCCTGTTTTCACAGCACCACATACCCTACACACCACAATCTGCGCTTGTCAGTGCAGTGCAGCACTTGGAGTCTCATTTCTGCCCTAAGAACATAACGTGCACAGGAATCCATTCCATTGGCACACTGATTTCAGGGCCTGTCTCCACAGTGAACTGGGAACTAATTACCGATCATAGAATCATAGAATGGTTTGGGTTGGAAGGGACCTTAAAGCTCATCCAGTTCCACCCCCCCTGCCATCAGCAGGGACCCCTTCCACTAGACCAGGTTGCTCAAAGCCTCATCCAACCTGGCCTTCAACACTTCCAGGGAGGGGGCATCTACAACTTCCTTGGCCAACCTGTTCCAGTGTCTGACCACCCTCACAGTGAAGAACTTCTTCCTAATATCTCATATAAACCTCCCCTCTTTCAGCTTAAACCCATTTCCCCTTGTTTTGTCATTAACTGCCCTTATGAAAAGTCCTTCCCCAGCTTTCTTGTAGGCCCCCTTCAGGTACTGATCCTATCAATAAGGAGACTGTATCCTCAAAAATAATTATAAGTGGCAGTTTACTACAATAGGGCAAAAATCTGTTCATCATTTAGAACGGTAGCACCCTCTGGAGTACAAAATTGTGGATTCTCAACTGTAAACAGCTAGCATAAGTCACTTCAAGCAAGGTAAGGCACATATATATATATACACACGTGGGTGTGTGTATATATATATGTATACACACAAACATAGAGAGCAGTCTCAAATAACCGGTTCATGGGAATGGCCATATGCATGTATAGATTTTTCTGTACTACTGACACAGAACCAGCCAGACTTCCACAAACTTAAAGTCTGGTACAGTGACAGAGGAGAAAAACGTTGAAAAGAAAGCAAACCCAGTCTTCAAGTTCAAACCTGGTCAGAAATAACTAATTAGGGAAAGGAAAAGGAAGTAGATTTAGTCTCAAAGTTTGTGTACCAGAAAAACCATGGTTTGTACGTAGTGCTCTAACTTCATGCTGAATTAGGAACAGTCAAACTACCTCCAACAGTCAGTATTTGCTCTTAATTTCATGGAAATATGAGTGTGTCTAAGATGTCACCAGAATCCCATTTGCACTGCTAGGTGATGCAGTGGCACAGAGCACTAAAAAACACACAAGAGTGGCATAATACATTTGGTAAACTTGTCAACTGTCCTATGAGAAAGTATTGAACAATCTAATGAAATTCTATATATTAGAATTAATATTTCAGTGATATAAACTAGACACATCCTAAGTACATGGTTTTTACAACAGCAGTTTTGTAAATATATATATTTTTTTCCATATGTAATCAAAGGAATCTGCCAAGGAAATAACGGCTTGAAGATGTGATCGTGTATATCATGAAACTGCAGTAAAGGACCTTTTAAAGGAGTAAGAGTATTGCTTCTTCCATATGCTGAGGACTTTCCAGACTGTTATGCGCTTCTGTCAATATATGAAAATCATAAGAAACTGTTACCAAAAGTACACGTATGATAAAATTTGCACAGTACTTTAATTTTATGTGACCTAATCCACAATCTACTGAAACCAGTGGGAATCTCTCTATCAATATCAATGGGCTCTGCAACTGTCTGATAGTATCGAGATTTGCTGTACTGACTTCCAACCAACCAGCTTAGCTAATAAAACTCATCATTGGGAACTGCTGTGATGATGCTATTGTCACCAAGTTATTAAGAATGCTGTAAACATGCTGGTTTTCCATGTTTCTGCAACAAGAGACTGATAAGAGACTGTTATAAAAAATAAAATAGCCTATTTAAAACCTGACTCAAAGACCTTGATAATCTTAAATT